AAATGCGCCTTTCACACATACAGGTAGCCCTCGACTTACAGCGATCCATTTAGTGACCGTTCAAACTTACAACGGCACGGGGGAAAAAGGGAGTTACGAACAGTTTTCACATTTGCAACTGCTACAGCATCCTTGTGGGACGTGGGATCAAAATTCGGGAACTGACTCATACTTACGACGGTCGCAGTGCCCCAGGGTCACGTGCGATCCGCTTTTGCGACCTTCCCACAAGCAAAGTCAATGGGGGAAGCCAAATTCCCTTAACAACCGCAAGGATTCACTTAGCAACTATGGTGGGAAACGTCATAAAATGGGGCAAAGCTCACTTAACAAGTGTTTCACTGAGGAACTTAAATTGGGGGGGGGCAATTGGGGTGATAAAAATCCCCCAAATTTAACATACAGTTGAACTTTCCTTGAATTTATAAGCCAGTTAGAGCAGGGCTCCCCAACCTTGGCAACTTTAAGACTTGTGGACTTCAACTCCCAGAATTCCCCAGCCAGCCATGGCTGGCTGGGGAATTCTGGGAGTTGAAGTCCACAAGTCTTAAAAGTTGCCAAGGTTGGGGACCGCTGACTTAGGGGAACAGACAGACATCTGCTTCCCATTCTGGGCCCTTCCAAGCTGTCAATCAAGCACTTCCCATGCTGTTTTTCCCATTCCCACTCCTGGCAAATTGCAAATAAGCGTGGCTGGAGCAAATTAAGAAATCTTTTCCTTTTTTCTTTGCAGGTTTTGAAAAGGTCTGCCGTTATTTCTATATCAATTCGGGAAGTCCTTGACGGATGCTTCGTTTAGTGACCGTTCAAAATTACGGCACTGGAAAAAATTTCACTTACGGCCGTTTTTCACCCGTATGGGATCAAAATTCAGACGTTCGGCATCTGAGTCGTATTTATGACGGTTGCAGCGTCCCCGGGGGGGTTCACATGATAAGCGACATAAATTTTGGGCTCAGTCGTAAGTCGAGGACAACCTGTAGATATCATTTCAACATCCATTTCCCCAAATGGATTTTGCTGGATTATACAAGGACGCAAAATCCGCCATCTTAGGATAAAATTTGCATTTGGCGTGCAGCAAACCGTCATCATATCGGCATTTTTTATTATTTATTTTTTAAGGTCAAACTGGTTTTTGAGAGTTTTCCTAAATTTCTCCAGAGCCCTGGAGTTTTAAAAACCTCATCCTCTTCCCACCCACCCACCCACCCACCCTCGGCCCCCTTTCCTGACATACACACAATCTTGGCTAACAACTTCACACTCTACATTTCTAGCACAACTAGGCTTAGAAATAACATCGTTAAGAGTAATCGCGACACGTACTTTATAAGTGGGAAGCATTCCAGCACAAGCCGTAGCAGAGACATCATCATCATCATCACACACAAAAGGCTACAATTATTATTATTTTTTTTGCATTTTTTTTTTCAGGAATCAAGCCAACCACGTTGGTTACCCATATTATCATACAACTGCGCCCCCTCCCCGTCCCATCAGCCCCCCCTAATCCCAGGTACTCCCCCCCACTTAAATAATGTCTCCTAGCCTGGAAATTCTAGCACACATTTCTGCTTATTTTTCCAATCTCCCTGGCCAATATTTCTACTTACTTTTCGTACATTGTTTAAAAAAAAATATCTCATGCTCTAGAAATAACCCTTATAATTAATCCAAGGTCTTTTCTTAAATATAGTATCTCTGGAGCATTATTAGTCTTTCCTTCCTCCCCAAATCTTCTTTTCCTTTAGGTTGGTGTAATTTCCCAATCGAATTGGCGGTTTGGGGGGGGGCAAGAAACAATGAAACGTCACGGCTGCTTTTAGAATATTTAGAATAGAATAGAGCTGGAAGGGACCTTGGAGGTCTTCTAGTCCAGCCCCCTGCTCAAGCAGGAGAACCGATACCGTAGTCTGCCAAGGAACCGTTTCAAACTTTTTTTAAAAAAAGAACCAGGAAACGTGGCAGCTTTTGCTTGCAAAAGAGGAGAAGGGGAAAATATTTTTTCTATACTTTTGTGTTTTTCTTTTTTTAATCCAAAATGGGCAAGGGAAACGAGCTGTCTTAATTATCCCAAAAAAGTCTTAATTTTTCCCAGTTTCAGTTTAAGTTTACCGTGGCAGGTTTCTCATCTTTTTCCCCCTCTCCAAAAGAGATTAAAATTAAATCAGTGTTTCTCAACCTTGACAATTTTAAGGCATGTGGACTTCAACTCCCAGAATTCCACAGCCAGCAATGCTGGCTGTGGAATTCTGGGAGTTGAAGTCCACATGCCTTAAAATTGTCAAGGTTGAGAAACACTGGATTAAATCAATCTGTTCTATGTTAAATGATGATACATATATAACTGATAATAGATTATCGCTCCTGGATGGAAATATAGCGGGGAGGGAAAGACGGGTCATTTTTAACAGTCGCTGCCCTGTCAAGATGGGTGACTTTAAAAGTCCCCGCAATTCTTCCCACTTGCAATATTTAGCTTTAGAGCAGACAGGTCAAGAGTTTTTCCATAGGCAACCTGTCACATCTGGACTTCTGAAAGCAGGTCGTGAGCGCCTTCGCAAAATGGGTGCCAGGGATATTTTCCCCACTGGCAAAACGGCAAGCTTGATGGGCATCCTCACTCACGCTAGGCCAGGGGTAGGCAACCTTGGCTCTTTTATGACTCGTGGACTTCAACTCCCAGAATTCCTGAGCCAGCATGCGGGATCTATGGCCCCTTCATGACTTGTGGACTTCAACTCCCAGAATTCCTCAGCCAGCCATGCTGGGGGGGAAAGGGAGAGGTTTCCAAGCTGAGCCATGCTGACTCAGGAATTCTGGGAGTTGAAGTCCACGAGTCATGAAGGGGCCAAAGTTTCCCTCATGCTGGCTCAGGAATTCTGGGAGTTGAAGTCCACAAGTCATGAGGGGGCCATAGTTCCCTCATGCTGGCTCAGGAATTCTGGGAGTTGAAGTCCACAAGTCATGAGGGGGCCACAGTTCCCTCATGCTGGCTCAGGAATTCTGGGAGTTGAAGTCCACGAGTCATAAAAGAGCCAAGGTTGCCTACCCCTGCGCTAGGCTAGTTTGCAAGAAGGGAGAGTTAACGAGGCCTATAATGCCGGCTTCCTATTTCATTTGATTTCAATAAAATCTCTGTCCTGGATCACACAATGCCAAGAGCAGAGAGATTGGTGGAAAATCTGAATTTCCTCAGATCCAATGTCCTTTTTTTGGGGGGGGGGAAGAAAAGCTGGGCTGAATCGGGAAAATGAATCAACCAGGACAACTGATGGATCCATTTTGACGGATCTATTCTTCTTGAAGGCATATGCATGAGAGCCAAAAACAAAACAAAAAAAGGAATAGCAGAACAGCAGAGCTGGAAGGGACCTTGGAGGTCATCTAGCCCAACCCCCTGCTCAGGCAGGAAACCCTACCCCATTTCAGACAAATGGCTGTCCTCTTCTTACAAGCTTTTGTGAGGCCGATCTCAGCACATCTGGATCAGCACCATTACCTTCCATCTGCTCTCCCAAGACTGACCCAGCATTTAAATTGAAAAGTGTTAAAAGGTTATGTGGGGTCAGGCAAATGTGAATGGGCAGAGAAGGATTTGAACAAGCAGGCATGTAACGTGCGGATCAGGACGGAAAATGTTTGTTCAATTCATAGCAAGGACTGAGGATCTGGTTTATTCAAACTGTGAGGAAAAAAAAATCATGAGCCGGTTCACCCAGATGTTCATGAATGCCAGGGGCCAGTCACTTATGTTGCCTTTGGAATCTTATTTATAATAATAAGATTATTATTATTATTATTATTATTATTATTATTATTATTATTATTAATAATAATAATAATAATAATAATAATAATAATAATAATAATAATAATAATAATAATAAAGTTGGAAGGGACCTTGGAGGTCATCTAGTCCAACCCCCTGCTCAGGCAGGAAACCCTGGTGTTATTTATAGATTTTTGCAATTTTGTTAATACGGGAAGTCCTCGATTTTCGACGGTTCATTTAGTGACCGTTCACAGTTACAACGGCACTGGAAAAAGAGACTTATGAACCAACTTTCACACTTGGGACCGATTTTCACACGACCGTCGCAGCGTCCCCGTGTCACGTGATCAAAATTCAGACGCCTGGGCAACTGACTCGTATTTACGACGGTGGAAGTGTCCTGAGATCTCCTTTTACGACCTTCTGGCAAGCAAAGTCAATGGGGGAAGCCATAATTCACTTAAGAGCCGGGTTAATGAGTTAACAACTGCAGTGATTCAGTTAACGACTGCAGCAAGAAAGGTCGTAAAACGGGGCCGAAACCCGCTGAACAAACTGTCTTGCTTAAGCAACATAATTTTTGGCCTCGGTTGGGATAGTTAAGTTGAGGACTACCTGTATTTCTTAGTTTGTGTTGTAGATATTATATTGTGTATGGTACTGTCAGGCTGTTATACCAGTTCAAATAATAATAATAATAATTGCTAAGGATTGTCTTTCAGCACACCTGCAGTTTCCCCAGCCTTGGAAATGCTAATTTGATTTGAAGAGAGCTGGAAATAGTTTAAGACCCCATTTTGCTTCCTTTGGAAAAACACCTGCCTCTTCCCCCCCCCCCCCAATCCTTTCTGCCTATAACCCAACCAGCTTCGTGAGTTTTAGAAGCAAAGATGCCACCCAATTTGTTTAATAAATTTAGGACGAGGAAACCTCCAGCTCTGCTCCCATTTTTCCGCTAAAACCGTCGTGCCCATGTGGAGAAATGTGTTCTTCCTTGCCCATTAAAGGAGACTTTTAATCTCCTTAAAAACCCAACAGAACGAGCTTCTAATACAGTCAGAGCATACGCTGATTAGAAGTCTCTAATTTTGTGGCGAGGAAAGAAGGAAGGAAGGAAGGAAGGAAGGAAGGAAGGAAGGAAGGAAGGAAGGAAGGAAGGAAGGAAGGAAGGAAGGAGAAATAAACAGAGAGACAGGAAAAACAGCTAAGTAACTGCAGTGAATTACTCTTTAGCTTCGGCCAACTTATTGTTAATTTCTTTACTTTTCTCCTTGTCCTCGGCCGTTGTCGTTCTGCTGGTTGCTTCCGTACTTTTTTTCTTGGATGCCCGGCTGGTTGCCATCTGCTTATCTTTGGGCTTTTTCAGAGATTTATGGCTTGGGGTCGTCTTTTTTGGCTTAGAAGGCTGAGGACTGGGCTTCTCCACCTGGTCGGAACCAGCAAGTCCATCAGGGCGAAGGACGGTCACGACAGACACAAGAAAGGGAGGGAAAGTGGAAAAAAAAGTGAATTTAGATAGAGAATTCCACATAACAGGCAACAGAAGTGCCCGGAGGAGGCAGGAAATGCCAGGGGATTATCCAGACACTACGGTGATACAAGGCAGCAGGTAAGCAAATATACATTAATGTGTATTCAGGAGAGATGAGAATGGCTGAGGAAGGTAATCAGACCGATGAAAAATAATAATAAGCTGGATAAATAATCTCTTTGCATTATCCTAAACCGCAAAAGCTCATTTAGCGTCGAGCCCTTTATATCTCAGATTCCACTTCTCCAATCTTTCAGCAGCACCATTCACAGACAGGGCCACATCAAAAGCAGTGTGCTGGCAGCCACAAGCACACCATGCAAACAGCCCAGCGTGTTCCCCCTGGTATGCTGTCTTACTCTCTTGCAATCCCTTTCTCTCCAATCGCTTCATTCTGTGAGGAGGGTGGAGAAAAAGACCCCATGATGTGCCTACTTACTCTCTTGTGATCCCTTTCTCTCCATTCTATAAGGATTGGGGAGAGAGAGAGCAAACTATTTCACGGTGTCACAATGCCTGCCTTGCCCCCTTTTTGATGTGTGCTGCTACGTTGCATGTCAAAGGGGCAGGATCTACACCTGGGTCTCAAAGCAAGCTATGATCTCCTGCAGAGGGTTGAATGCCAATGATCGTCTCCATGCCTTCCTGCCTCTCTCCTTACCTTTGGAGATTCTTTCTGCGGTTCACTATAGAGGGTGCGTATCCTTCGGTGCTCCAGGAATTTGTTATTTGGCGGGCCAGGCTTTGCTCCCTCGGCAGTGAACTGGGAACTGTAGCTTGTCTGGTGGGTGATTTTGTCATCTGGGGGCTCGTACTGAGACTTGGCTTTGATCGCTCTCACCGGCTTGATGTCCGTCCACGGTCGAAATTCATTTCTGGGGGATCAAAAAAACGGAAAGAGAACAGGGAAATAATAACCGCCAGCACGATACAGGTAGCCCTAGACCAGGGGTAGGCAACTTTGGCTCTTTTATGACTTGTGGACTTCAACTCCCAAAATTCCTGAGCCATTCATGCTAGCCAAGGAATTCTGGGAGTTGAAGTCCCCAAGTCATGAAGGGGCCATAGTTCCCCCATGCTGGCTCAGGAATTCTGGGAGTTGAAGTCCACGAGTCATGAAGGGGCCAAAGTTCCCCCATGTCGGCTGAGGAATTCTGGGAGTTGAAGTCCACCAGTCACGAAGGGGCCATAGTTCCCTCATGCTGGCTCAGGAATTCTGGGAGTTGAAGTCCACAAGTCATGAAGGGGCCATAGTTCCCCCATGCTGGCTCAGGAATTCTGGGAGTTGAAGTCCACGAGTCATGAAGGGGCCAAAGTTCCCCCATGCTGGCTCAGGAATTCTGGGAGTTGAAGTCCACGAGTCATAAAAGAGCCAAGGTTGCCTACCCCTGTCCTAGACTCACAACCATTTGTTTAGTGACCATTCAAACTTACAGTAGCACTGAAAAAAGTGACTTATGACCAGCTTTCACACTTATGACCATTGCAGCATCCCCACGGTCACGTGATCAAATTTTGGGTGTTTAGCAACTGACACATACTATGTTTCCCCGAAAGTAAGGCCTACACCAACAATAAGCCCTAGCTTGAGTTTTGGGGGGGGGTGGGCCTAATATAAGACCTACCCCCAAAATAAGTTCTAGTTTGGGGGTGAGGCACACACCTAAAAATCAAGCTAGGGCAGGGGTGGGGATGTGGAGCTGCCCCACCCGCCCCCACCCACTTACCTCGCAGCCAGGCCTCTCCTCGCCGGCCCACTTCTTCTTCTGAGGCCTCTTCTGCAGCCAGGCCTGCATTTCTCAGTCACAGACCTTTCCGGAAGCCGAGAACCATGGGTTCAATCCGTAGCTCGGTTCTGCAAGATCTCTGCAGCCGAGCACCAAACTATGGATTGAATCCATAGCTCGGTACTCGGCTGCTTAGGCCTTCCGGAAAGGCCTGACTGCAAAATGCAGGCCCGAATGCAGCTGCAGAACTTCGGCCCCAGAAGAAGTGGACCGGCTGGGTGGGGCTGTCGGTGCCGGAGGTGAGGTAAGGCCTGTCCCGAAAATAAGACCTGGTGCCTCTTTTGGAGGCAAAAAGAAAAAAGACCCGGTCTTATTTTCAGGGAAACATGGTAATTGTGACAGTTGCAGTGTCTAGGAGTTTTGTGACCAGTTTGCAACCTTCCCAGCTGGCCAAAATTGAACAGCCCTCCCTCAACAGAAGGGGACGGATACGACATCATCTATCTCCAGTCTACAACACGGTCCTTTCTCCAGTTCCAAGAAGGCGCCACACCCATTTGCACCCCTACTCAGGTGACCGAGGACACAGATAAACCTCCAAGTGGCCTCAACGACTCTCTAAAAGGAGGCAAATGACCAGCTGTCTGCAAGGAGTATGAATCCTTCCATTTCCCACCATCCAGTCAGAGCTTGAAGAAGCTTCTTGGATGAGAAGCAAAACATCTGATCACCTTTGTTGCTCTTCTCGACTCTAGAAAGAGTGCAGAGAAGAGCAACAAAGATGATTAGGGGACTGGAGGCTAAAAGATATAAAGAACCGCTGCTGGAATTGGGTATGTCTAGTTTAATGAAGGGGGGGGGAACAGGATAGCAGTCTTCCAGTATCTCAGGGGCGGCCCCAAAGAAGAGGGAGCCAAGCTCTTCTCCAAGGCGCCTGAAGGCAGGACAAGAAGCAACGGGTGGAAACTCATCAAGGAGAGAAGCAACCTAGAACTAAGGAGAAACTTTCTGACAGTGAGAACAATTAACCAGTGGAACAACCTGCCTCCAGAAGCTGTGAGTGCTCCAACACTGGAGGTTTTTAAGAAGAGATTGGAGCAGCCATTTGTCTGAAATGCTACAGGGTTTTCTCTCCGAGCTGGGGGTTAGACTAGAAGACCTCCAAGGTCCCTTCCAACTCTGGGATTCTGCAATCACACAGCCTTGAAAAATTTAGTGTTTTTTTTCTTGCAAATTTAGTGTGGTTTTTTTTCTTCCCCAACCGGAAAAAAAAAGGCCTGCAACTTATCTTGAAAATTTCTCCCCCTTCAGAAGCAGCCTCTGTATATTTTCTTCCTGGTTTAGATTTGACGAAGTCTCTCTCCATAATTCTTCTCCCATTTACCAGCATCCTCTTTGCAGCTCCATTGCATCAGACTGCAATTCCCTGAGGCTTTGCGTGGTTCAAAGCAAAAGCCTCAGACACTTTTTTCCTGTGTTTTTTTTGTGATGGGCTCCAGTTTCTAGCATGAACATTTCTTTGTCTCTTTATGAGTTCTTCTACAGGTAGTCCTCAACGTACGCCTGTAATTGAGCTCGTGATGACAGTAGTTAAGTGGTGGCGGTCATTAACTGGGTTACCCCGCCTGATTTTATGACCTTTTTGCAG